CGTCTGCGCCTATCAGGGGCGCAGGGCGGGCCGACGGTGCCCACCCGGGCTTCACAGGGCGCTCCTGGGAATCGCGCCCCTGCGCGGAGTGGGGAGGCGGCTGGGAGTGCACCGTGTGGGAGAAAGGGGCAGCAAGGGGGGGGGCAGGTACGCGGGGCAGCGAGGCACCCCTCCTCTGTGTCTCTACAAAATTGCCAAACGTGACTCCCGCCCCGCGTAGAGGAGAGACACACCTAAAACTGTAAAATATTAAAAACACTAACAAATCACCTTTCCGACCTTAAATTCTCTAAACTGCCTGTCAGGTGAATGCCGCGCCAATCTACTTTAATTGCAGAGAAGACAGAGCCCTGGAAGGGGAGGCTAATAAATTAGAAATCGAGACGAAAATGGACCCGTCAAAATAAAATTACCTTGACTTTAAACGAACCACTGCTTGGTGGTTCACTCTGGATTTATACAAGAATAAAAAGCCAAAAGTCGCCTCAAATCACGTCCTCTGTAATGCTTATTAGTCCCCAGACAGAACACACACAATAGAATAGAAACCCTAACCCCTCGTTTTCAAAATGCTGAAAGCTTATCCATTCTACTTAACGTTGATTAAGACATATCCTAGATCTTTCAAATTCCTTGTACACCGTATTAAGCTCGTCCTAACCCGAGAGAGCCGCGCTTTAAATTCGATTCTCTTGTTTACTTTATTATCAATCAGATTCAAATCCATAAAGCCCACAGAATCAACAACCTTGAGCTAATTATATATAAAATATGCTTTAATGAATTTCCATACAATTAAGAATGTTGCCAAATAACCAATTTCAAGGATAATTTTTAACAGTCATTTTCTTTTCGTAGGGAGCTCAAGGCTGTCTTGAATCGTTACAGTATGGGCAGGCAGAAGCAGTGTTGTGTGGGCTGGGGCCAGTGCTAGCCAGCCAGGAAGGAAAGCTTTATTCACTTCTATAAAACAAACCAAAATAAAAATACCTTTGGGATCATCGACTCTTTATAGCACTATTCCCAAGGCAATTTAATTTCCAAAGAAATTTCAAAAAGAAATCCAAACATTCAAAACAATTTTTGAAAGCCCCTTTGTCAGGCTGGGGATGTAGTTCAGGGGTAGAGCTCCTGCCTACCGTGCCTGTCGCCTTGGGCTCCAGCAACAACACTGGGGAGGGGGAGAGAAAAAAAGAAAGTCCTTTTGTCCCCCAGCTTAGATCGGCCGGAGAGCACAAAGTAATCTCCTTGGGTCTCTGGACTGCGGCTGTTTTATTGTGGAGTTAGGGTTATCATGCCTGAATGTGTATTTGTTTGACGTTACAGTCAATGATTTGCAACTCCAGTATGAGGTATCTTCAGAAAACTCCCTCCACGTCCTGGTTCTCAGGACTGGGAAACCCATTCAGGCTGGGACTAAAGCGCCTCCCCTTTGTCCTGCATCCCCAAACCCATCTGCAACTCTTCTCCCATTTGAAAGTCATTGGAAAGCAGTCCAAAGAACCCACTGAGATTCGCTTTTCAGTCTCTTCTCACCAGCACTATCCAAGGATAAGAAGAAATTAGCTCCTTTGGGGGGCTGGCTTTCTTCAGTGTCAGGTTTGAATCAGCATTTCCGATTTTCACCTTTTATTCCACTCCTCACCCCATTCCACACACACACATAGCACAAGCCGCTGGCTTCTCGGAGCGGAGCCATCCCCTGTGATGGGCCAGCGTTAACTGAGGCTCGTGCATCCAGCTGTATTAGGTCCTGCAATCTTATCACTAAATTACACATATTAGACCAGCAGCCTGTTGGTAAAGAAGGTTAAATTAATTTACATTCTGCTCATTATCTGGTGCTTAAATAACACATTTTATCCCTGAGATTTGGCGAGAATCTCCTTCCCAGACCCCATAGTGTTCGACTGAAGACAATGCTCTTATATTTGTAGTGGTTTTTAATCTGATAAGTCTCTAATTTGCTTAAGTCTTTTAAATAAGGGTTTTAAATGTTTCTAGCCATTTTCTTATTGAATTTCCTCTAATTCCACCAAGATTATAAAGTATATGGGTAAAGTAAATATTTTCAACCAATGCACTACCAGCAATGACCTATACCTAAGTCAGTACGAATCTAGCTCTTTTCTGCCCAACATGTTTAGTAATCATATTCTAGCTTCTTGCTGTAAACCTCGGCATAGCTGTGGGCCCTTCTACACCTTGCCCCTTAAAACTTCATTTCTCGAAGAGACCCCACCATTTTAAGGAATGGAAAATCCTCCACTGTACTGCACAAACTCTCTTCCTTGTTTCAAGGTTCAAGCTCTGGAGCTGCAAAATGTTTTTAGGGGCTTGGGGTATTTTTCACAGCTTTTTATTCTGGAAAGCAGAGAAGCTTCGCAGAGCCATAAAGATTTCTAAGCCCATCTCTCATTAAACCCTCAGACTCTGGGTTTAGGCTCTACTGGCTCTGTGCTTTTGGCAGGTGAAGGACCCCAACCACACCACAAGGATAAGGCAGCTCCACACGATGTGAAGGGTGAGGGACACCAGAACTGCAGGTGAACTGCAGGCCACCGAGAAAGCTAGAAATAGAAGGAATCTCAAATTGTGCAGGAGCCCCTGAATGCAGAGGATAATAAAGTACCAAGAGCATTCATTAAGAACAGTCTATGCAGTGCATACAACTACGCATCCCGTCTGTATTACACAGTGCACACCACATGCACATGATCTATACTGTACACACTTGTACATACAGACAAACATAATGCATACATACCATGTACAACACACATACATGGTGTATACCATGTGTATATTCCTGGATCGCTAAACAATGAACTCAAAACAAGGATTTTCTTTGCCTTTTTCCACCTGGGGGGAGGTCCAACTCTCTGCTAATCTCTCAATCACTTTAACTCCCTGAGCAGCCTTGACCCCGGGACTCTGCTGGCCTAACAGGGTCCCCTATGCCTGGTAGGAAAACAGAGTGAGATGTGTAGGTGGGCCAGGAGATGGTTTCCAAGAAAATGTCATGGTGGTGGTGAGTGGGACTGGAGACTGAATCTATGTAGCTTTGCCTGCTGGCAGGTGCAGGGAGCACCCGGACTTCAGTCTCCATCGAACAAGTTTTCAATCGGGGGAGAGAAGCAAGGTGGGGCTCCTCTGGGCATGGGGAGGAAGCCCAGTTTGGCTGGGGTTGAGCTTTTGCTTCCAGGAGAGTTTGGGGTCATCTCAGCTCAGGGTTTTCTTTCCAGCTCTGCTCTTTCAAAAGAAAGACCCTCCAGCAGGCAAAAGTGACCCTGGGCCAGGCGTGTTTTGAGCTGTATCTGCCACAGATTTCCAGTTCTAAAGTCTTATTTAATTTCACGCTCTTTCAGGTGAGTCGCACAAACTCCCACTGGCCATGGCAGTGAGCGGCTGGGCAGGACAGCCACCTTCTAGAATCTGTGGCCCAAACATGCAATTCCCGAATTTTGGAAAATCTGTCCCCAGAGGTCGCCCCGACGAGGACGGCTCAATGAGATACCCCTCTGAGCTGTCAGGCGCGGGGGCAGAGTGCTGCCCAGCCCAGTCAGGCCCCGGGCCAGCTGCCCCAGGTCAAGGGTGCAACCCTGGGAGTGCTTGCAAGGAGGTGGGAGGCGGAGGACTGAAGGAGCCCACCCCGCTGCCCCTTCTGGAAATGGCCCTTCGGCCCCTCTTTCAGCCAGCAGATTTTCTCTGTGTGCAGTCCAAGCTGGAAAGTGTCCCTTCCCCTTGCAGCCATGAAACTGACCCAGAAATGAAAAGCTTGCTGGGGTGGGTTTTTCCCATTTCCTAAATAGAATTTTGAAAAGGCGCTGGATGGTTAAAAGGGGTGGATTCTTTTCAGAATCAGATCTCGTTTGATGTACGGGGTCCCTGGGCCCTGATGTCACTGGGTCCCTGCAATGCCGATTTCTGAAGCACAAGCTCTAGTTGCTCAAACTCTTGAAGTCTGGGGTGGGTTACTGGGGAGGGGCGCTGGTGGGCGGTGCCAGCCCAGAGAGAGCCAGGGGATTGGAGGGGAGACTGGAGTCCAGAGTGGATGAGTGCTGCTCCCCAAGCGCCTTAGTGGTACAGGTCTGCTAGCGCACTTGGTTTCTAGTCAGCAGCTATCTAAGGGCAACTACCAGCCGCTCTGAGGGCAACTGCAGGGGACGTGGGGGAGAGGGATGGATGGAGGGAGACAGAGAAGGAGACAGAGAAGTCTGAGAGGAAGCAGCCAGGCCTGAAGACAAAGATATGGCAACGCGCTAACTGAAGTCACTTAAAAAACAATTACATTAAACGCTCTTCTCTTTTTCACTTTGCAGCTTATGTTCATCCTCCCTCTAAAATTTTTTTTTCACTCTCCCTTCTTTTCTGTTTTCTCTCTTCCAGACATGCTGGTAGCTAACATTCAGCATTAGTTGTCATGGTGACCATAAATCACATAAATCCAAAAATACCCACCTATAATCTGAGATGAAGCTTTTATTTCCCTAGCGAAATAATATTTTAAAAGCTGTCAGCTGACAAAAAAGAACCCACCTCATTGTACTAACCCGAAGAATATATTACTTCTAAAGGTTTAAATTAAAATGTCAGCTTGTTAAGAACATGCGTGAAGACCGTAGGCACTCTTCATGTCAGAGCCTCACAAGGAAGTCGACGCCATCACGGCCCGTGGTTCACACACACACACACACACACACACACACACACGAGTTTTGCACACCCTGTTTTCTTTCACTTCTTCCCTGGGATTCCAACTAACCCAGGGGGAGCCTGGGTGCTACTCAGGGCTGTCAGATGCCCCTTGCTTCCCCAAGTGAAAATAGGGAAGGGTCAAAGATGGAGGAAAGGCCACACTGTGACGGGTGGCCTCCTGAGGGTCAAGGAGGAAGAGAAAGAGGAGAGACGTGGAGACTGAAGAGAGAGGTGAGTCAGGCAGCCAGGTGCACGGACCCACTCTAGCCCAGGAAAGGCAGGTACAGGCTGCACCCCGGCCCGCAGCTTTACCAGTTGGAGATCCTGGGGAGGGGCAGGGGGCTGCAGGAGGGCCTTTTGTCTTCTACCTTGGGCTTGTTGTCTTTTGCCTATCTTGGATTACTGGGTATTCGCTTAGATGAAGAGCCATTAATTACCCATTCAGTCAATATTAGGAAGACGACAAAGCTTTTTACATAGGATTAAGAAGACATCAGACTGTTCCATTAGTATATTCCTGCTCACGAATAAGCTTTCGTTATACATTTCCTTTTCCCCGGAGTAGTTGCTCTAACAACTGCTGCATATATTAACAGCAGGCAGTGCCCAGTAAGTAACAGCCGAACCAGCTTTCAGAAACTTGGAAGCAAGTGTCGGTGCGGAGGAAGGTGCCCGAGGAGACGCTGGGCCTCCTGAGGGGATCACCTTTGCAGACCGGTACCATCTGCCTCGCTGGGGCTTCGTTCGACCCTCAAGCTGCATGCTTGGTGGGGGTGGGTGGGACGGTGTCGCTGGAGAGCAAAAGGGAACTCTCCACCGGCTCCCTGCTTTTCCTTAGGCCTCCTTCAGCCAGCAACAGTGCCTGCCCCTTGGCCAGTGTAAGTCCTTGAGATCGCCATGCCACGCACCACCATTCTGCATTTCTAGAGATGATTTGGGCTGATCACCGTGCAGAGCGCTGGATTGTGTGCTTTCAGGGGTGCACTCTGGGCCCACAGGGCACGCGCCGGGCAGTCGCTTGCTGACTGAAGGACTTAAGGACTGGGGCATCAGTGAGCCCAGAGAGCCGGATCTGACCGGGTCCTCCGAGGGGGCCTGGAGTGCTGAGAAGGCTGGGCCTGGGCTCCTCCCCGCCCAGAGTGAGGGAGTCTGCTCCCCTCAGGGATTTGGGGCCATTCTGGGAGCTATTTAAAAATTAATAGCATTGTTGGTGGGGGCTGGACTGCCCCATGCCTTCAGACAAGAGCTGCTACCCCAGAAACTTTCTGAGTCCCTGACAGAGAGAGGGCAGTCTGTCCCCTGTGCGAAGGTCAAGGCCATTTTGTGAGCTCTGCAAAACAGGCTTTCAGGTTCCCTGGAGCGAGAAAGCTGAGGCCTGTCTTCTGCCGCACTGGTCTCCAGACGCAGCGACCTCTCTCAGGCTGGGCTGGAGTGTAACTGAGCTCTCCCCACGCCAGCCATTTCTGCTACCCCTCTTGCAAGCTCCTCACTTCAGGGGTTCAGCTGCCCTCCAGTTCCCTCCTGTCTGGACTTAAACTGGGCTTGGGGTCCACACACCCGGTGGGTATGAAGCAGAGGACCTCGCCAGGGAAGGAAGGACACGCTGGTCTCTCCGGGTCCATCCTGCCTCTCGGGAATGTCAAGCCTCTCAGGTGTGTGCTGGTGAAGGAAGAAGAGGTGGTGCCAATGGTAGAGTGTCATGGCTCATTTAAAAATAATCACATGCAGCCGTAAGCATTTTTTTTTTTTAAAGAACAACTAAAAACGACAGGAAACAAATCCTTTTGTTTTAAAGGCAGGGTGGTCCTGAAGTTTCATACTCTGTAAATTACCTTTTATACTCAGTAAAGGGAAGGCTAGCAGCCTCCTGCAGCAACGCCTACTCATGTGTACCTTCCTGTTTTTTTGGGGGGGGTCTGCCAGTTCCCTAAAAGCCCATAAAATCAAGATTTTCAGCATTTCTTCCCATCACATGCTTCTTCTTAATTACTAGTATTAAACATGTTTGGGCAGCAGTTTTTCTCTTCGGTCCAAAAGGTAAAAAAATAGATCAACCAACAGGGTAGGGGAAGAACCTTCCCATGCACAAAAACAACTCAAGGCTGAGAGTAATGGTTAAGAAAACAGTTGTTCATTATTACTAGGGGTGTGTGCGTGTGCGCGCACTGGCAAATACAAGAAAGAAAGGCCCAGGGAAAGGCCTGTGGAGCCCAGGGCCAGGACCACCAGCTCTCTGCAGCCCAAGGCCAATGAAGCCCAGCTGGACTCCTTGAGGGGTCCCTTCTGCTCTGAGCCACCTGAGGTCACTGAGCACAGCACTGGGTGGCAGGATGGCTCCGGTTCTGGCCTCAGCTGGCCTGCCCTGCCTGCCCCACGCATCGCTACCTTGATTTTTAACCGTATCCCAAACATGCTCTGGTCTAATAATTTATCTTTACGACCGATTATCAAACAGAAGAAGAATGTAACACAATCCTGATGACAGAAATCGCCGACACTATCTCTGCATTGCCCTATTTAACCCCACGGGTCAATCCCGGACAAGCGAGAGTCTAACCGGCCCAGGGACGCTGGAGACAGTCGGTGTGCAGGGCGGGCGGGGCCGGCGGCGTGGACGCCAGAGCCCGGACTGGGCCCTTTGTCTTCTTCGAGGTTGGGTCCGCGGGTTTCCTTGGCCTGAGTCGCTCCCTCCGCACAAGCACAATCCCTTTTGTAGCCTTACTCTTTAATCCGGAAAGGGATTGAGGCCCGGCTGCGGGGGGCTTTATGTCCTCGCACGACCAGAGGTCAGAACCTCTTAGCTGGCACTTGGTTATCACCAAACCTGGACACTCGGGGGCACAGAGAACAGTGGATCTGAGTGTCCGTGTGCTCCGAAGAGCGCTCGCCACTCTTTGCACGCTCACACTACGGAGCACAAGTTTCAGTGCAGCTCAGCCCTGCCCGGGGCTGGAGGCCTCCTGACTTCTGACACAGCCCACAGG